TATTCCCGGATTCTCGGTTCTCGGGTGTGAATTATTCCCGGATTCTTGGTTTGTGAAGTGTTTCCTGCATTCCTGGTTCTCAGGTGTGAACTATTCCCGGATTCTCAGATGTGAACTATTCCCGGATTCTCGGGGCTTGAAGTATCCCATATACAGTTAACTATATAGTTGATCTAGATATACATATGCATATATATACCCACACAGCCAGCTTGGGCGCAGGACGATGGTTGGTCTGAGCGAGCAAACCTGCGGCAAGTCTTGATGGCTTTGCGGAAGTAGATGGCCGGAGTCCCCGTTGGGTGAACCTTTCATCCCAATCACCTCAGAATACACAGAAAACCACTCAGTTTCCAACTTTTTCAGCAAAAATCACCAAAAAACTCAAACCCGGGAATCCGGGAAAAACCCGGGAATCACCCGAGAAAAACCGAGAAAATTCTTGGTTTCTGGGAGATCGTTTTTTTTTTGGATTTTGTGGCTGTTGGATCTTTTTCTGAGGGGTCTCTGCCAGTTAATTGAGTCCACCTTGTTGCATACCTGTGGATCAGATCATTTCTACAGGCTGCCAACGAGAAATTCAATCATTTGGAGCAATTAAGTGTCTCATGGAGGCCTAGCTGGGAAAATGGGTGGGTTTGGGTGTGCGACTTCAGTTCTACCATGTCTGAGCGGCAACCCTAGCTAGGTCTTGTGCATGCTTTGATTTAAGCCTGCTCTACTTTATCTTTGCTCCTTGAACAGGATCAAGCACTGCAGGGTAACTAGCTGTGTGAAGTGGCTAGCCGGTACCATGCCCGACGTCCCACCTTGCAGGGTTCGTGGAAAGTCTGCTCCACGAGGGCGGTCACCAAACGCCAAAGCCTTGAAAAAGGCAGCGAAGGCAAACCGCCGTGATGGATCAGGCTATGTCACACCTCCACCCAGACCCAAGAAGAGGGATACAAGCTCAGATGTTGACAGCTGTAGGCAAAAGATTTCTTTCGGGAAGAACAGTGTCTTCAACATCGAGCCCGAGAACAAAGCTCCCGACCTCAAAGAAGCTGATGCCATTTTGAATCAACTCAAGGATACCAATTCAGTCTCTGTTGGGTCGAGTGTTGAGTAATACACCACATACTATATATTTGTTTGAGTGTGACTTTACCACTTTCGTCATTAACATATAAACAAACAGTGCCCCCAGGAGACAAAAGGCAAGAAGGAAGACACGACATGTTCTTCAGCGAGCAGTTCAGAGGAGCGTCCCAAGTCTTACCGGAAGTATTGGAAAAGGTTTGAGCGGCCAGGGATTTTCAAAAAGGCTCCTGGAATTTCAAGAAAGACACTACTTGCCTGTTGTTCGAAGACCAACACTACCAAGCAACATAGACGCGCCATCCGCTCAATGAGAGAGTGGTGGCATAGATTCAGATTTGGCACAACCCGCCAGGAAGAACATAAAGAAGAAAAGCCTATCAAGAAGGGTAAAAAGGAGAAGAATGAGAAGAAGAGCAAAGAAGCAAAGAAGCAAGAGAAGGCAGTTCAGAAGGAAGACCGCAAAAGAAAAGTGAAAGAAGAGGACAAGAAGCCAAAGGACAAGAAGATCAAAGAGGCAGAGACATCTGCGGAGACAAGCAAAAAGAAGAAAGTAGATGAGAAGCCGGTAGAAAAGAAGAATAAGGAGGAGAAGGCAGAGAAGCCGGTAGAAAAGAAAAAGGAGGAGAAGCCGGAGAAGCCGGTAGAAAAGAAGAAGGAAGAGAAGTCCGCACAAAAGAAGAAGGAGGAGAAGCCGGCTAAGGCTAAGGATGGGAAGAAACCTGAGGAAAAGCAGAGTGCGAAGAAGACTGGTGATGCCATTGGCAAAAAGAAACCAGATGAAAATGAAAAGAAGCCTGAACAGAAGGGTGAGAAGAAGGCCAAGAAGACAAAGGAAGATGTGAAGTCTGACGATGAGTGTGAGGAAGGGTCGGACAGTTCCGATATCGACAGCACTGCAGCCAGTTCGGAGGAAGACAACTCAGAGGAAGAACAATCTGACTCCCAAAGCAGCAGTGAGGAAGCGGAAGAAGAAGATGAGCCAAAGGACAATGCAAAGCCAAAGGGTATCTTGAAGAAAGAAAAGGAAACGGAGAAGGCAAAGGAGAAGGAAGAAACAGAGAGTGAAGTGGAAAGTGAGGAGGAAGGCGGATCAGAAGATAGTATTGATGAAGAGGAAGAGGAGGAAGATGAAGAGGGTGGAGAACAGGACTCAGAAGAGGACGAAGAGGATGAAGATGAAGATGAAGATGAAGGTGAAGATGAAGAGGACAAGAAGCCACTGGGCTTGAAGAAGAGGAAACGAGATATGAGCGATGATGAGGAACCAAAAGGAAAGGAGCGCGGGAAGGAGAAGAAAGAGAAAGAAGTGACATCACGCAAAAAGAAGGGCACAAAGGAACACGCCAACAAGAAGGATAAGAAGAAGAAGGAAAAGAATGAAAAGAAGGAGAAGAGCGAGAAGAATGAATGCAGTGATGATGAGAAGGCTTTGGAGAAGGCAGAAGAACTTTTGCCAAACAGCACAAAGAATCGTGCAGCGTGGCAATCTTTTCAGCGCTGGCTCAAAAATTCTCGGCGGTGCCCTGCGAAGATTGTGGCGGCAGCCAAGAGCCAGGACAGCGTTCAAAATGATCAACACTTCCTCACAAGCCACCCATAGCCATGTTCCATGGAACCATATGGGGAAACATATATACTTGTCCCTTCACTCATTTGACAACTATTGGACAGGACACTCGACGTCAACTGTTCGCCGACTACTTGGAGAGCGGGAAGGATGTCAAACAGGTCCAGGCTCGTTTCGAAGACCGGATGATTCAGGCGCAGCGGACAACGTTGCGGTATGGTTTCCGCAATGAAACCTGGTTGATCAAACACCATGGGGAGCGCCGAGCGCGCAAGATCCAAGAGCGGAAGAAACAACTCGGATTGAACCTTGGGTTAAAGCTTAACCTTATACATGTTCCACCCCTTCGTCATCTGTCCACTTGTCATTTGTCCCAAGCCTCCTCCAACGAGCATGGGGCACTTCCAGCTTGAGCTCCTTCAGCGATCGCATCCGGTCTAAGGACCATTCCGGACCCTGAGTTTCCTGGAGAAGTGGATGAACTGTTGTATTGGGTCATGATTGAGTTCAACCTGGACGACGTCAAGGAATTGCGCCGTGTGACCGAGATCGAAATGAGCGGACAGCTCGATAGCGACGGCTTGAAAGCATTTGTCGAAGCTCCTAGGTTCATCTATCTATCTTTCTATCTATCCATCTATCTATCTATCTGTATTTATATTGTTTACTCTGAGGCTGGTGGCTGCCTTGATGGCAAGCAGCACCTGAGTCTTGGGGACCTATCAGGTCAAAGCGGGATGAAAACCTTGACGGGTGCACTTGGATCGGGTGGACCAAAGACACCAAAACCCAAGGGCAACAAGAAGAGCAAAGAGGCAAGGTAGAGAATCAATGGTACTGTTGAAATGTTTTATTGAATCTCATAAAATGGGTTTCTTTCTTCAGGTACAGCCCGATGGACCACTAGCAAAAGCACAGCTTTTGGTCTTGAAAGTCCTCAAGGATGTGAACGCCTGCAGGTTGCTAGGCTTTTTGCATACATGTTCGATAAACAGAAAACATGTGTATGCGTCAGCTAAACCAATCACTTCTTTTGCATTCACCCCTGATCTAAGGGACCAGGCTTTCAAACTGCGACCGCTATCACTATCTACGGACCTGATATCGCAACTTAAAGCATGCGCTGTGAAGTTGCAGCACCATGCTGACTTGCTCCAATCAAAGATTGCCAAGAAGATGAACAAGCGCAAGCACTATCACGACTTGAATGAGCAGGTAGTGCAATCAGTACGTATCTAAAACACCTGGATATCTTACTCTGTCATCTCAATATGTTTTGTTGTGGTATTCACCAACAATCACACACTTGGCGGCCACACTCATCTCCTGCAGGTGGAAGCGGACCAGAAGATTGCAAAGGAGCGCATCGATCTGGCAAAGGCTTTGATCAGGGCCAGTGAGAAACCCGCCAAGGCCAAGAAAGAGAAGGGCCCAAAAGAGACCCCAAATTCAGGTGACACACCGGAAGCCACCGCGAGTCCAGGAGATGACAAAGCTGGTTCTCCTGCTTAGTTAGTTTCACATAGTGCCTTACTATGTGCCTTAGGGCTTGAAGCCATGGCCAATCTTTCAAGTGTTGGGTGTCTAGACCAAGTCAGCAAAAGTGCATGGCCTGTAGGTGTGATGTATGTATCTAATTGCGCTTATGTTCAACTATCCTTTCCCTTATGACCAAAGCTGCAACTGTCCCAAGATGGTATGGTCTGTTTGTTTTATGTTCCAGTGGGCTAGCTTGGGGTGCTGCATGGTGGCATTCAACCGCTTTTGGCGTCCGGAGTTGAAAGACTCCAATTAGAAGAACCCCTCCGGGATTTTGAGAGGACACATGGAAAGGGATGAAAAGGTGTGCTAAGAGTCTGAACCTTTTACTGCAGTCTTCGGTTCAGTTACATTCTGGCTCCACGTCCGGTCACCCCCGCAGGTCTACATCACCGACGTCAACATCACGATCCAGATCGCCTCGCGCCAACGAATCTTCTTTCAAAGGCGCCTCAATGGCACGCATATAGACCGCATGGGATACCGGTGGTGGGATCATAAGAAACCTTGAACTTTGACCCCCAGCTTTGACCCATGAGGTGTGGACATTGTGGCCAATGCATCTGCGTCTGGCTACAGGATTCTACGGAAGATATGTGCTGGCGTTTCTTGGACAATACCATTTCACACATTGTATAGAAGGTTTTAGAGAGATGGCATCATGTTCTGCAATCTTGGAACTAGCACACTCAAACAACAACTTTAAAAGTGTGAGATCATGAACCATGAATGTCAGGCTACTTCTGCAAGAGATGGCTGCCGTGATGCGATTCGATTAGTTGAAGATGGGGTTTCATGCCCCTTGGCAGAACTGCTGGCGAAGTGGGGCCGAGGGGGACATGAAGAAAGAAGTTTCTCAAGGCCTTGGATTGCCAAAGGCGTTTAGTTTTTTGGATTTGTTTGATAAGAGATGTTTATGTTTGAGGTTGAGGGTCACTTATGTAAGCTTGAAGCCCTGAGGTGGTGTCAAGACGTATGTACTGTTCATCCTGGATATTTCACGGTCCCTTTGAGCGTTACAAATGTTGAGGGGGAACAAACATCGGTGGAATCTTCACTTCCCATATTGTGGCCTTGGGATTGTTTGGCTATGTTGTGGAACAACGGCGCTTTGCTGCAGTGGATCTCAGACAGTCCTGAGAAAGCTGCTGACCATTGTGAGGAGTATTGGAAACACTGCACACATCTAAGTTTCTTTGAGCAACTTCAGCTGCATCCATCGCAGTTTCGGAGCGCTGTCCCTTTATACTGGCATTGTGACGGCGTCAAAATATATAAAGCGCAAAAAGCCTGGATATATTCCTATGCAAGCGCCTGCCGGAAAGGTTCACCTTCCATTCAGTGCAAGTTGGTTCTGTGTCTTTTGAGGGAGTCGATGATTATCAAACCACATTCGCATGACCGAGTGGGTTTCGCGATCGGCTACATTGTAAAGACACTCATGAGCGGAAGGTACCCTGACAGAGATTTCAATGGGCGTCCATTCACTCCAGGGTCCGCTGAAGCTGCCAAAGTTGGCCGTTGTTTCGCTGGTGGGTGGACTTTCTTTTTTGCTGGGTTCAAATCAGATTGGGAAGCCCGTCAAGTTGTGCACAAGAGCGTTCGTTTTTACAACAGCACCTACATATGTGAGCACTGTTTGGCAGCTCGTGTGCCCCAGTTTACATATGCAGACTTCAGGATGTCGGCAAACTGTTTGACGAAGAGGTTTACACATGATGAATATCGAATCCTACAGGGGGACAGGCAGTCTGCTTGGGAGAGTGTTCCTGGTTGGTGCAAAGAACGGAATTTAGAGGTACCTTAAGTTTGTTCCAAAACATTTTTCTATGTTTAGAGTTAATGGGACCTGTAAAGACTGGAATTGGTTCTGGGTCATGGTTCTTCCAGTCGCTCACACTGTCCATCTCAGGACATCCTTCACAACTTTCATCAAGGCGTCGGAGCAGTTCTGATAGCGAGCTTGGTTTGCGACACTCTGGAGTCCAAATATGTGAACATCACATTGAGAGATATGGACGATCGTCTTTCGCGTGAGGTTTACATGCACTATAAAAAGTGGTGTAGTGACCGGTCACCCCATGCAACTGCTTGCTCCCACAGATTTTCACTTCAAAGGTTCGGCAAGGACACTTGGTCGTCGTACCCCGAGTTAGGCAGTATTTTCAAGGCGGCAGTCGTTCGGACGATGCTCTATTGGACTCTGCAGTATTTGAAAGAAGAACGTGGTGTTGCTGGTGGGGGGCGTCGATACCAATGCATGCTTCATTTTGCTCGCTTTCAATTTTTGGTTGACACCAACCCTGCGTTCTTTTCTGATGAAGTTGCTGGAGAGGTGGTCCAAGCATGCCGCAAAGGCTTGATTTGCTACCAAAAGTTAGCTTCTGCTGACCGCAAGCGGGATGACGACCGCCGTACATACAAAATAACCCCGAAGTTCCACTCAATGTTGGAGCTGACATTTTACATCGCTGAGAGCAAGCGCAATCCAAGGTCTTTCGATCATATAGTCAAATTTTTTATGTGTGGTAAAACTATGGTTTCAAAAGCCACTTAAAGCCTATCCCCCAAACGGCCAGTCATCCCGCGAAGCATGTCTCACTTAGGTTCGATCACACATACGCCGACGAGGATTTGATGCTTCAGCTATCCAAAATTTCATCCCGGTGCCACCCGAACACGTTGGAGTTCACGACGCTGAGTCGATATCGAGCCTTGTTGGAGTGCTTTGTCCATAGCTCTCAAAACTGAGAGCCCCGACCGTGCAACTCCAAGTGAAATGGCGCTGTGGCCCACATGGGGCCGGAGGTGTGAGAGCATGGGTCACGTGGACTGCTGAGAGGTTTTGTTTCCATGAAACCTTGTTTGGTTCACACTCTTCCCCTCCATAGGGTTGATTGCGCTGATCGTGTTTGCGCGGCCTAATGTTTAGGAGGGTCAATGTTTGTGTGTTTCCATGTGCTCGTGTTTGAGAGGTTAAAACCATGGGTCGATTTCCTGAGAAGCAGCGTCGCCGATCGAGGCCGTCGAAAAACACCACACACCCGCCCAAAAAACAACACCCCATATATATATCATATGTCTATAGTGCGTATCTTCACCAGTGTTGGTGGAGATACGCTGTATATATGCTCAAGCTTTGTCCTGGAAACTTTGTAGCGCTGCCATTGAAACATGGCATGGTGCTCGAGCTTTGCCCTGGAAACTTTGTAGTGCTGCCATATGCATAGCATTGCGCTCGGTTTTTACACTGGAAACGTTCTAGCGCAGCCATTGAACCATGGCGTGGTGCTCGGCTTTGGCCCTGGAAACTTTGTAGTACATTAATTACAAAACATCTCTGGGCACTGCGCATGTTGTAGCGGAGCAAAGCCATATGTATATATGGTGCCCACGACAACAAATATCAAAGGCTTATCCTTTAAGCCTTCAACAAAAACATAGTCCACATGAGCCTTTTCTAGCCCAGAAGGCTTAAAAGATAAGCCTCCTGGCTCTCTAGGAGAGTCTTCAACAGGTCGCTCGTTTGTCTCATCTGCAGGAGGAGGAGTCGTTGCGTGGGATCGCTGGTTTGGGCGATCTGAGACTCCAGTGTCAGCATGGTCGAATCTTGATGATCTCCTATGGCCACCTCGCGATCCACTTCTGCAAGCATCTGTTCTTCCAGCGTGGGCAAAGTTGGAGCAGGCACCAAATCTTCCTGCTTTCCCAGTCTCTTTGGCGCTGTCCCTGCAAGTTGCTGCAATGCCCTGAGCTCCGTGGAAGTGAGCTCCGTCCCGTCCAAGCCCGATGCGTCCAGCATGCTGCGCGGGGCAGCTTGAACTTTCGGAGCTGGCATAGTTCCCTGAGCTCTCAGCAGGCCTTCCATCTGTGAAAGGCGCTCCCGGAATTGTGAAAGTTCCGCAGCCTGGGCAGAAGCCACATCCCTCAAAAGAGCAGGGCTCTCCGGGAGCGGACCTGAATCCAGGTCTTCGACCGCATCTGTATATTCCTGTGCTGTATCCCCATCCAGTGTGTCCGTGATCCACTGCTGAGCGCCACTCAGAGCTGACGCCTTCACTGGGCGCCCAACTGTAGAACCAACTTGGAAAAGAGTCACACAGTGCCATTGCCACTGCCCCGAGTGGTGGGGCAACGGCGGAATGAGCTGAGCCAGCTCCAAGGAAGGTCTGCTATGATCACTTCGGCCGTTCCAAGCTGCCGACCTCTGGCTGTTTCCATTGCCACTTCCAGCAAATCCAGAAAAGCTGCTTCGCCGGCCGTCAAGGCAATCTCGTCCACTGAGTTTCTCACTGCATCGAGTGAGGGCATCAAAACTAGAAATCCTTCCGCTCTCCGTCGTAGCAGATACACCACCACGAAAGTGCCACTCTGTTCTCCCACGCAGCAAAACTGAAAGGTGCCAAGGCGCCCTTTGACTCCCCCGCTCAGTCCAGCCTTCACCACGTCAGAATTCAAAGCAGCACTCACGGCAGACGCCGCGGCCATTGACACTCTGCTCCCAGCAAGAAAGCGCTGCCTTCTGCCTGAGAAGCAAAGGATCTGTAGATAGTTCCTGGATGCCTCACCCCAATCCGGTGAGGGTCACCGATGCCAGAGTAAAACTGATTGAAATCTGTCGTCCAAAAACCCTCAGGAAAAGCACCACTTTTGATCACCACAAAAACCTTGATGGGCAACCTGGTGTTGATATGAGGTCCAGTTCTCTCTGATTCACCGTCCAATTCGAATCTCACTGCACGGCCTGAGCGGTAGGCCAATCCCAACCTAGCTTCTGGAGTCCACCCTTTAACTGAACTCAGTCTGCAAGTCCTGAGTAAGTGATGGATAGGAGACAGGTCCAGAGCCAAAAGTTCACCAGCAGTTGTAGCAGCTTGCAAAGCTGCTTCCCACTCCACAGATCGGGCTACTAAGGGCCGATCCACAGCAGGTTCCGATGTGCTTCCAGCAGCACCGGATGTTGCCGGTTCAGGCGAAGAGACTAACTCGAAGTTCCCCGCGTCCTCTTGACCAATTTCCCTTTCTCGCAACCCCAGACTCAAACTTTGCAGTCCCTGAGCTATCTGTTCCAGTGCCTGAGCAAGAGAAGCCCTCTGGCTCATGCACGGTGATATTGACCCAGCCTCCTCCTGATCACAGCCAAATCCTGCTGTCCAGTCGAGTGCGATGGCCATACAGAATCGAGCAATGTCAAGCCAAGCTGACAAGCAAGGCCCCTACAAGCACGAGACAAAGCCAGGCACCCCAAGCACAAACCGCAGATGCAGCCGCAACCAGAGGCCAGGATTAGAGCGAGGATGATGAATCCCCAAGGGATGTTACTATGGCTGGGAGCAAACCACAACCGCAATTCGCGCAACGAATCGAGGACGAGGGGCCCGCTGAGCATGAACCAAAAAGCTTGAGTGCAGGGCTCATCAATGATCAGTCCAAATGAGATAACCGTGCATATCTATAGGAATCAATCTTAGTGGATTCAACTGTCACTAGTCTGAATATCACACGAAAACTGTCGTCTGTAGCGATCTGTAGCGCAATCATGAGTAACTGCTGGCCACAGAAATCACTGCTGTTGGATGTTTCCAAGGAAACCTAGCCAGTCCCATTTTTGTTGGCCTCAACTCTACCTGGAACACCAAGCAGCCAAAAAAGACTCTTGTGGTCCACCAGGAATGGTATGTTGCATCATACCTGGAGATTTGGGGCTTCCACACCAATTTACAACTTCTGTTGAGCGAACCCAGAATCAACTCCCCAAGACCGGCCACTTTTTTGCAGGTCACAAAGAGTTGAGCATCCAAGCCAATATGCACAGAGCTACTGGGTCACTATCATCCGAAACGGTTTGTTTGTCAGTGGAGGCTGCGAAAACTAAGACTGAAGAACTTTTACAAGTGACTCCATTGGTACAAACGTCTGCCACATGGTCTATGTATTTTGGACCACAAACCCCTTTCCGATCAAAAAAAAGTCAAATGGTTCCAAGGTGTGTATATATAAACAAACCGCAAACCACTTTGTGTACTATAAGGATGTGAGCCAAAAGCGGCTGTCCAGCTCTGTGAACAGGGCACGGAGTTGATGGCCACCAGGCTCAAATGCCTGAGGTGTGTGGTGAAGGAAGAATTTCACCACGAGAGAAACAAATAAAACACAACACACTGAGTGGCATACTGTATATATTACACCCCCATACTTTCCTTTTACTGTGGCAATGATGTCCATCATGGTACAATAGATGGGACCTCTATCCTCTATTATCAATGATGAGATCCATTGAAATCAAAAAACATGTACTCTGCAGGCATATAGAACATCAATCATCAATGGCGGTGTTTGGTCCCGAAAGAGATAGAACTACTGTCCAAGAGTATGGGGATTCGACATCCATGAACATACATAATTGGATTCCATTGGCTTCTTAAAGGCATTTTGTACTATATTGTGGTCTACTTACCAGGGATACCCCAATAGCTAGAGGTGGTTGCTTCCATGTCCAACGAAACGGAAACAATGGCTAAACAGCTAGCTGCTGAAAGGAACAAGCTTACTGGCTCTGGTTGAGGCTGCTAGGCTAATAGGCTAAAATACATGTGGGGTCGATCCTTGTCGAGAGCCAACTGGTCAAACATCTACAGAAAGCAGTACGTTCGACCGACACCATTCAGCTTTCCTTGCGGTTGACTCTATGTCTCCAGCTTGCTATTCCTAGAACATGTATGAACATGTATGTATATATATA